CACCACCGTCATCCTCAATGTGTAACAGAGTACTGGAATCGCCAAGGGAAGGACTCAAGGCAGTCTCTAGAGAACCACGGAAAGCTTGATGAAATAAGGAGGTTCTCCAACAAGAAATTCGTGTACATCGCAACCTGGCTCTGACGGAAGATTACTCGAGGCCCACGAAACGGGGAGAATATCAATTTGTGCCTGGAGTGATGGGGATGGCATACAATCATTTCTTGGACTCAGAATCTGGAAATTTCGAAGTGGCAGAGTTTTTGATGTTCTGAACGGAGAAAATCATTGAGACTGACCCGACGGAAAGGAAAAGACAAAGCTTAGGTCTGCCACTTGAGAAGATGCCGGAAATTATCGGACAAAAAGGTCGAACTAAGACTGGGAAGCGGAAACGACGCGTTGTCTACGAATTTGGGGACCATTTGAAAGTTACTGAGACCATCTTGGTGCCCACATCCCTACGCGAACCTGATTGAGGAAGTTACGGAGCGGGTGAGATTGTCGTCAGCCAAAGATGAAGATCTGGGAAATTTGAATATAGTTCACAAAATAGTCCTGGTGAAGCAAGCTGGCAAAGAAGATGCGGGCAGCTGTCTGGACCTGGCATGTGGAGGCGGAGAGTATTTTTGGGATGGGCGGTCCTGTATCAGAATATAATCCTTCCAGAGGGGGATTTAGCCACTTGGTTCGAAGACATAACGGAGAAGGAGAAGAGCGAGGTGCAGATAATGGCTGAGTGCTACACGAGCACCATTGTAAATGTAGCGACGGCATTGGGATTTTTCTCGATAATGTGCAGTTTACAATCTCTAGAGATGCTGGAGTCCGATCACCATTTGGTGACGGCGTTAAGCGTGGAGTCTTGGCCAGGAGTGTCGCAAATGATCCAGAAGCACTTCAGAGGATGGAAAATTGGTCTTGAGGCGGAGATGGGATTTACTGTGAGCGAGGCCTACAATCTACCCACGAATGCGAAGTCTCTGGTAGGATCAGTCATGGCCAATCTATGCGGAAGCCATTATCCACTACACATGTCGATGGTGAAAGCATCTAGTCAGAGGGTGTTAATCGACAAGGCTTTCGCGGGGCCCAAATGTGTACGACTGGCACGAAAGTCGCACCACTCTCACTAGTTGTTGCGGAAGATACAATAAGCAGTGCCGGGAGATCGAAGAAGGGACGTGAGTGAGATCTGTCTGGAAAGAGCTCTGGAGTCTGGAAAAAAAGAACACGAGCGACTTTGAAAGACAGAATACGATTGGAAAAGCAATGAACAGTGCCCCAGCCATGGACGAAAACTACGTTACTCATGAGAAATTGATGGAGTTTGAACCCTTGTTGGAAGTTTCGGGAGAACCCAACCTCCGGAGCATGAACCTGACACACGGGGAATGCCCATGCCATTGTCTAGCACAGACAGTTTGGTATCCGGAGCACTCGAAGGTCTGCTTGATATGGGACGTGGAAGAAATTCGTTCAATAGGGCTAGCCAGTCACCAGCAGAAGGTCACTCTTTTTGTGTTGAGCACTATGCTGGCGTTGCGACGGATCGAGGAGAATGTGACGAAATATCGAGAGTCGAGAGCACCAACAGTGGAGTCAAAACATGCCTTTGACTACAGCCGGAGGCTTGAGTTGTTCGAGACTGCGTGTAAAGTATTCGCTGTGCCCAAAGAAGTGAGGCACGTGTAGAGTCGCATAAGATTCTTTTCATGGTTTCGAGCGCCGCTGTTGTCGTGGCTGTATACGGTGACGAAGAATCACATGAAGAAGCATAAGAAAGAATATCGACTGTTCCTGGCCGAGATCGGGCCCGAGGCCTTCAAGAGACCCTTGCTAATTCATCGTAATGCGATAACCACGGGTTGGAAAAGGGTTGGTAGAGGGTCTCGAGATAACACCAAAGCGAGGGAATCGATATTGGAGGAGGACTTGGCGAAAAACGTGAGCCTGAATTTGCACAACTCCTTTTGCTTGAATAGGGAGTCTAAAGTGAAGGGTCTACCGAATCAGGCGAAAAGACTATAAGAGCAAAAGGAATGGATGTGGGCCTACGAACACCTGAAGGCATGGGAAGAGATCGTAATCAGTTCCGATGACGAAGAAGAACTGGCAAGGCAGATTACAATGTCGAGCGAGTCAGGAACCAGTACCTCGAAGACATGGGGCACGAAGTGAAGAGGGTGATCAGGAATTGGTTCTTGAGTCGTGAGAAGAGGAAAAAAAGGGGGCTTGAGTGGGAACTCAGGTGAAATTTGAGGGCACGGAAAAGAAAATTTAATAAAAAATTAATGTTATTAGTATACTATATCTACTATGTAAATAAAAATGCTGCATGACATTTTCCTGAATGGGCAAAACAAAAGAAAATTTAATGATAGCTTACAAAGCGGAAAATCAGGGTGCAGATGTATGCAGATTTTGATTGCTGTTTAGCGATAGTGTGACACTTTTTCATGGCTGTGAATTTGGGGTGTAGATAACGTTAAATCTGCTGCAAACTTCTGTAAATGACCACTGGCACGTTATAAGATCGTGATATTCGCAATTTCACCGTGTAAATCGAACGAGAGTAGAGCTGTCTAATTCCTAGAGAAAGAACAAGTCGTGACGAAAAGAGACAAAGAAGAATTGAAGTGGACCAGAGTGAACCTTTGGTGGAAAGGTGGACAGCTGAAGCTGCCCAATGGTCGAAAAAGAAAACTTGTGTCTTGAGGTAAAACTTATTCATTCCATTTTCTCGAGGTAAACTTGATTACTGGATTAATTCTAGAGACGCTTATTAATTTAGTTACGCGATTATAGAAGTCGTGTCGGTATGTAAATACCCAATTTAAATTTCTTGAGTGTGTTTTACATTGTTATGTTGAGTTACGGAAATTTTTATGTTGATCCATCTGAAATGGATCAAATTTCCACTGTCTAATAAAAAGTAACTATATACGTAAGGTTCCGACCCTGTTTCTAAAGGCGTTCGTGTGTTTTGGGTATTTTCAGACCTAAGCATGTGGGCGTTCTTACTTCTAGAAAGGAGGGGGGTTTGGTGGTAGCCTTTAAGCTGTAACGCGGTTTGTAGTCTAATGTCGCAAGTGAACCGAATTGGCTCAGACCGTCTGAGGTAGAGAAACACAAGAGATAGTGTCCCTGACTCTTAAGCCAGTGGTTGTAGGGCCTATTTTTCTTTAACCTCATATGTGACTTAAGTAGGCGACTGTTACAACATTCCTGGTCATTCTCAAGAAATAAAAACCACCGCTTTTCTCGATCTTTGAAAACAGCACACGCAAAACTATAAAAAAAAGTTTTTTCCCATTCATCAAGCCTTGAATTTTTCCAAAGTTTTTTTGTAATTTTAATCAATTTTTCTTCTGAACAGAGAAAAAGGTTTGTAGCAAAACACAAGCGGGAAATTGTAGCTCGATGAAAACTACAGTTTTGTGAGCAGAAACAATAAATATCTCGCGATTTTGTCTGCAGTGTTATAATTAAACGGCTATTTGTACAGTGAAAATATTGCAATATCACTCGAACTTATTTCAATAGAGGTATTCGTTTTTCTCAGCAAATGTTTGATTTCTTTCGGGAAAATACATTCTGTTGGTAACAAACTAATTTGATCTGACATATCGTGAGCAAAAAAAATCGATAAATTTCAGACTGAAAAGTGTGAGTTGTAGGCAGGTTAAGCCTACACCACCGTCTAAAACAAGGGATGTTATAAAACTTCTTTCCTTATGTCGAGTCTGCTTGACTTTTTCACTTCTGCGTTTAATAATTCCTGGCATTTATTAACAGTATCCAAGTTAACTGTAGTATGACGAGCCAAATGAAAAAATTCAGGGAGAACACAAACTGATAGTGTTAATGACTTGGCCCTCGAAAAGTTACCTAGTGAAATTAACCCTCAATGTTTTTGAATTTGAGAACTCAACAATAGTTCAATAATTTCAACTTTTTGGGAAGTGTAAAACAAGACACCAAGTATGGTTGTTTCCTTGACTGTTTTACAGGGTGATAAATCAGGTCCAGAAAGCACTCCACTTTTACTTATGTTAATCATCATATGAGTTTGTTTGCAAAAAATCGATTAAGCGAAACAACCTTTCAAAATCTCGGATTTTGATAAGGCAAATTATGTCGTCTGCATATGAAATTAGTTACATTAACCCGAAACCTTCAATTGCTTCTGTAGATTCAATTGCTTGAAGAAGGGTTTCGATAAAAGCTATGAATAAAAAAGCGGAAATGGGACAACGTTGTCTCACACCGCGATGAATTTTGAAGCCGGCTGAGAAAAAAACACTAATTTAATTGCTGCTTTTGAGTCTAAATCTAAAGTTTCAATAGCTCTAACGGAAAACTCATCAAGGTTTAACCCTCTCAAAATTTTGATGAGAAGTCTTGTTACAACTCTGTCAAATGCTTTAGAAAAGTTCAATTTTACAGCATTGCAGCTAAAAATGAGCACGCAGAAGCTGCTCTGATTGACTTCTAGAACTCTCTGTTGGTATTTTGAGTTTTTGAGTGATTCGTGGTACTTAAAGACATCTTTCATTAATCTTCGTGAAGTTTTTGCGTGCGGGTTGAGGACTTTATTATCAAAGAAGATTCGGCTGAACCAAGAGCCCCATAATCGGTTTGATTTTACATCTAGTCAAGCGTCGTCATGAGTTGTAGTTGAATTGTTGTAAAAGCTCTAGCCTTGCAACGACTCTAGTTTCGGCCCGATTTCAACATCAAAGCAAACCTCGCTCATGAGGTTGGCGAAGGTATCTCTGATGTCGTCATGCCTCATGTGGTTGTATCCACCCTTCGCATATTGAAGGGCGTGGGTAAGGTCGAAAGATAGACCACATGCATGTGTGAGTGGAGTTTTGGGTGGTTCCCATCCATACCTGACCTTTTTGATCGTCTTGCTGAATAATTTGTCAAAATTAACTGGCTAAAAGGAGTTTTTCTTCTTTCATGGTATGTAAGTTATTTATCTGTTTTAGAGCAATGAAATTGGTCTCAACTTATGAAAGCGAGTTTGTTCAAACTCTTTGTTTTTGCTTTTTGATGCTCTACTCTTCAGGGTTATACAGTATTGGGTTTTTCCCTCCGAAACCGCCGAATTACATCAGGAGCGAATGGCACCATCTTTCTACTGTGACCGAAAAATCAACAGCAAGAGAGGAGTTTTCAAACCAACCTAAGTATCGAAAGCTCGTCTCGAAGTTGGTTTTAATGGTCGTCGATGGAATGAGAAATGACATGGCCCAAAATTTGTCCACATTCAAAATGGTGAAACAAAAAAACATAGCTAGTGCCGGGATTATGAAGTTCGTTGCAAAGGCAGAGACTCCGACCGTGACCATGCCCAGAATTAAAGCCATAGTTACAGGTAAGATCTCTTTAAGACCACTCTTTCTTGATGAATACTCTACGGTCCGACCATTTCACGAAGTGGGAAGGAACTATGGCGTAGATTCTATTTTTTTTCCAGCAGATTTCGACTATACTTCGAAGACAGCTCGTAGGGGGTTAGATGAGGTATTATATTTTCAGTCGTGATTTGGATTCATGATTTTTTTAAGAGTTCCGAGTGTCGAGGAAAATTGGTCTGACTTTTTTTGATAATAATAAAGATTCTTAGGAAATTTCCAGGGGAAGTGACTCCCTTTCAAGTCTTACATCAAATCAAAAATTTATTTTTCTAATTCTTATACTGTTTGTGCAATAGCATTCAATCGTCATGATTTCCTTCATTTCAGATTCAACCCTCGGATTTCCTTCATTGAATTTCTCTTTGAAAAATCTCCATGATAAACTCGTAAGGATGTCTTTGAGTATTTTATTAAGATAGCAAGTTCGAGAAACCAATTGGACTTGTTTAGTGTGGGTGAAACGTAATAAGCAATGGGTTAGTTTTTGGTAGGAGCTGATTTCCTAAATTTAGTTCAAGTTAGCTATCGGACTTTCATAACTCGGCTTTTTTGTCGGCGTACTTTGTCCTAAGCTGTCAATGTTCCTCTAGCTGAAGCTAGATTTTATAGAATCGAAAGGCGTTCGGAATTGGTCTTATAAGCTAAATTTTAGGGACCTCTGATTTGGCATGATTTATTTTTTTTCTTATGAACGTTATTTTTTTTTGCTGAAAAGGTTTAATCGGCTCAAGTGGTTTCATTACGTCGTTTCAAGGAGAATAAATGTTTATGCATTAGTCTATTAAGGAGAGGGTAAATGTTCGAGTTGCAAAACTTGATATTTCAAAGTTTTTGGTAATTTTAATTTCGGTTGAAATATCGTCTACTTAAGTTTTGTCGGATTTCAATAAATTGCGCTCAACAGATTTTTCTGATTGTTTATTTAACGCAGCTGACTCTTTATCTCCAATTGGTAGTCTAAAATTTAAAATCATTTGAGACAAACCTATGAAGTCTTCATAGAAGTAATATTTTTAAATGTAGATTTTTTTCGACTTAATTGCCTTCGCCTCGTTTTCTTCGTTTAAGTTGCATCGCAAGTGTAGCAAATGTCAGTTTAATCTCTGTGTGTAACAAACTCACATTAATCGTTGGTAACAGCACGTATGCTATATTGACGTGCTCTTTTTTCTCAATTTCTTGAAAGTCAAATAAAACTACTGGAAATCTGATTGCTGGAACAGCGCAATTCACTATTTGTATTAACACTTTTGACGAAGGAGTTTTTTCTGGAAAAAATAATTTTATTGGTCTTTTATCTGTCTGCTTAGGTTTTGTCGGCTCAGGCTTAACAGTGATATTTTAATACTGATTCCTATTTTTTGTTACTCAAGTTGATAGTTTTGATTGATCCTTGTTAATTGTAAAATTAATGGCTCCGATTTTGTATAGTTTAGTTTTTTTTGTTAAAATATTTGAATAAAATAGTGATGACTCATTTAGCGTCAAATGGAGATTGATTATAGGTTTTAAAAGAGTTATTTGCTTCGGAGTAAACACTTTGGGGCCATGTAAAAAAACTTCGGTATTCGCTTTGGGGCTATGTAAAAACATCATCGCGTTTCAAAATTTCTTTGGTGACAAATTATTTTTCGGCGTCTATCTAATTATTGTCGCGGTGATTATCGCTCGACATATGTTCTTCAATTTGAACAAAATATCGGACGAATATTTCATTTTTCGTAATTGTTTTCTTTAATCCTTGCGACAAGCAAGGGTAGTGCAATCGGGTACTGGACTTTTTTTACCGTAAAAAAGTTTATGGCACAGACTGGTCAAATGTGTAGGAATGGTAAATTTCAGACATGCTCAATTTCTTGAAATTTGGAATAAAACTACCTTCATTTACGTTGTAAATAGGTGTAGTCCGTTTCCGTTTTTAGTTTGTTTTCAAATAAATTTCTTGAAAAAATGATTTTTTTTTTAAAAACGGTTTCGTGGTTTTCGGCCTAGTTTCCCTCGGTTCATTTCCCGTTTTTTAAGTGAAGTTTTTTTTATTCTGTTTTTTCGGCCTTTTTGTTAAGCATGTATTTTTTTTGATTTTGACTTTTTTACTCTCGTTGAAAGTTTGTAACTTGTCATTACCAAGTCTGATTTTTAATAATTTTGTTTTTTTCATAGTTTTTTTTCGATTTAACGGTTTTAGTTTATATTTTATGGCATAATGCTGTAGGCAACTTCCTTTGCACTTGAAAGTGCAAGTGTTGTTCATTCTAGTCTCAGGTGGGACTTAAAGCTGTAAAAAAAAATTTATGAAATCATGTTTTTGTTCTGTCTGCTCAAAGTGCCGGCTTTATTTCCTCTTTGTTAGTTTTGTTCAGTTGCTAATTTAATTTTTTAAATTTCTGGCATGTTAGCTTAGAATAAATTTCTATTGAGACATACGAAAATTTGATTTTTGTTAGAACTAAATTTTTTCTAGGTTTTCCAGTTTTTCCGACTTATGTTTGTGTTTAATCGCAAGTTCAAATTTTTCGACTTTTTGGCTTCAGCATCATTTTCTGCGAGCTAGCTCATAATGTTTTGTTTGTGTAGTATGAAAAGTGGTGCGGTGCGTAGCTCCGACTGCTTTCGCCTCTGTTATTACCAATTCAATCATGAACACTCACTAAGTGCTAAAAAACAACTGAGTTTTATTGCAAAGATCAGCTCGGAAAATTTTGGGCTTTTTAACCGCTAGCGGCTGTCCTTATTAGTTTGATTTTTTTGAGTATTTCGTCATTTTTTAACCTGTTTGTTGTATCTTATGTTTATTTCTTTACCCTTAATGTTTTATATATTTAAATGCAGGCTTCACTATCTCGCCATGTTCAAGTTTTTTCAACGTATTATTTTATGTTTAACAAAAGAATTTTTTTTCACCTTTAAGCTATATCGTATATTGCAACGGTTAAGGTTTTTTTTTTCAATTTTCCCGTTTAAATTCGATGTTTATTTCATCAAGTTTGAAATAGCAACCAAATAGTAGGATATTGTCAGAGTTTTCCCAGGTTTTGCGATTCTAATAACCAAATCATTTTAGTTTACGAGATAGGCAATTTTCGAGATTTTTCAAAAATTTCAAAAAAAATTTAATTCTAAAAAATTTTAAAAATTTTTGAAATTCTCAGCCTGTAGTTGGGTGCTGTCAGGGTTTTCTCAGGGGTTGCGAATCTTGTCTCCAAGTCTTTTTTCAAAAAGTTTTCAAAAAAACGTAAATGTTAAAAAAATTCCAAAACTTTCAAGATCTCAATCCTGTTATTGGAATCTGTGAGGGTACACTCAGTAGATTGCCAATCTTGCCTCTGAATATGGCTGCTGAAATCTTTGTAGTTTTCGAGATATAACTTTTTTTTTTAGGTTCTTTCCAAATTTTTCAGAAAACTTAATTATAAAAAATTTCGCAAAACTTGAAATTATTATCTCTGTAGTGAGGATCTGTCAGGATACTTTCAGGAGTTGCGAATTTTTGCTCCCAGTATGACTGCTCAAATCCTTGTTATTTTCGAGATATGACGTTTTTTTTAGGATTTTAAAATTTTTTCAGAAACTTATTTATAAAAAATTTCGCAAAACTTGAAATTATCATCTCTGTAGTGAGGCTCTAACAAAATAATTCGTTAAAATGAAATTCCCAACCCTGGAGTTGTGTACTTTCAAAGATTGCGAATATTGCCATCAAAAAAGACTGCTCAAATTTCAGTAGTTTTCGAGATGTGAATTTTTTCTGGTTTTCAAGAAAATACCTCTCTTAGAAAACTTTTCTCAAAATTTGATTTTCCCTACGTTGTAGTTGGGTGCTGTAAGAGTACTCTCAGGAGTTGCAAATCTTGCATTCAAATGCGACTGCTCAATTGCTTTCAGTTTCCCAGATGTGACGTTTCTGAATTCATTATAAACTTAGATATAAAAACAATGTCACAAATTTTTATGGTTTTTCAAAATTTGAATTAAAAAAACGAATGAAAAACTTTACAAAATTTGAAGTTACTCTCAGGAGTTGCAAATCTTGCGTCCAATTGCTACTGCTCAATTGCTTTCAGTTTTCCTGATGTGACGTTTCTTAGTTCATTTTAAATTTTTCGAAGAACTTATATAAAACTTCATCAAATTTTATGGTTCTTCAAAATTTATTTAAAAAACTTGATTAAAAAAATTTGCAAAATGTTTAATACGAACCCTGTAATTGGGTGCTGTCAGAGTACACTCGAAGAATAGTTGTTTTTGAGTTGTTGAAAATTCGAAGCACCGGAGGTGCGGTACACGCTAGTAAGAATTGATTGAAATCTAATTGATTGATTTTTATCGGCACGGTGCAATAGGTCACTTCAGGGGCGGATGTAGGTTTTTCTCGAGGGGGCGGATTTTCAAAAAGTTTTCGAAAATTTTGACGACTTTTTTTTAGGTCGACCAAATTGATTTTCCGAGCTCTCCTAAAGCAATAAAAAAAGACGCTGTTTTGGCCAAAGTTTCTGCGCCGCAGGCAATTTTGTAAAAAATAATAAGTCAAAAAAGCCGTTTTTGGGCACTTTTTGGAATTTTTTTTGGCGTTTTTTTTGGCGCGCGCTCCCCTCAAAGTTAGTATATATTGGCGCCAAAGGCGCCTTTAGAAAAATTTTAGGGTCGGTCGGCCAAAAATGGATTTCTTAAAAAGTACCAAAGGGGGGTCGAATCCCGAAGGGGGGGGGCGTCCCCCCTAAATCCGCCCTTGGGTCACTTATAGAATGTTCGTTTGTATAGATTTTGTTTTTATTACATTTGTGATAGCCAGAGTAGTTTGGGTACCGTTGTTTTTTTCCTGGAAACAACAAGTTTTTGTGACACTAGTTCCGTTGCATGTATTCTCTTTGCAATATGGCGAGATCAAAATAGCCTGGAAAAAGCTGCGATCCTATTTTTATTTTGAATGGAATATTTGTATAGGTGACGTCCCTGCGTTTGTGGATGTGTTCGGAAACATGGACGCTAGCCGCTTTGAGGGCGATAGTCTAATTGACCAGTGGTTCGATAGAGGATACAAAGTTACCATGTTTGGAGATGAAACGTGGCACCGTCTATGGGGAGACAAGTTTGTCAGAAGTGATCCTGTGACCTTTTTTGTCAACGAATACGTCCAGGTTGATCTCAACGTTAGTCGCCATTTGGAAAAAGAACTTAAACGTGATGATTGGCAGGTCATGATCCTGCATTTTGGAGGTTTAGATCACATTGGACATCTTTATGGAGCTTTTAGCTCTCTGAGCCCAGGGAAGTTAGAAGAGATGGATAGGTATATAACGCAAATACTGGACGGTCTGAAGAAGAATGACAAAGGAGATAATGATTGGATGTTGGCGGTGACCTCTGACCACGGGCAAGCAGATGCGGGGGGTCACGGAGGGCCAACAGAAAATGAAGTATTGACTCCACTGTTGATTGCATCTCCTTTGATAAAGAGAGTATCAAGTCATCCTAAGGAGACACTGGTTAAGCAAATTGATATAACCAGCACCTTAGCCTATCTTACTGGTGTTCCAGTTCCTGCAAAGAATTCCGGTGAGATGATATTAACAATGAAATTAATAGCTTGATTTTGCTTCGCATACAGTTTTGTGCACCAAATTGTTTCAGGAATGGTTATAATAGATTTAATTGAATCAATTGTCTCTTCGAGGGAAGCTATACTACGCTACCTGAACTACAACAGTCAGCAGTTGAAAAAACTACTGGAAGAAGTTAGTAGTTCGGCTAAGCTGGAAGTGCTAGGTCTTGAACAGGCTATTCAGAGGCACCATTTATGGCTGAGGAATTATCCATCTATCGACGAATCACAGGTGGTGCGTATTGATGTTTATAGTGTCGAACGAAGTGAAGGTAGTTTGTTAAGTTTTTTTTTTCTCGTTCATTCAGGAAAAGGTCATAATGATTCATTCAGGCTCAAGTTTGGTTTTTATTGTTTTTTTTTAGTTCAATTTATATTCGTTTGCCTAAAGAAAGTCAAATTACGCTCTACACTAGCCAAAGTGCAAATGGTGCGAAAAAACGTGAAAAGTTTAGTTCCTGAAGCGGATTTTACTTTTCAGATTTTCCAGCTATTGATACATTCTTGTAAACGTGGGCTATTTAAAAAAAGTGTCAAATCATAAAAGCTTCTGGTAATTTAGAAGAGTCGTGACTTTAGTGTTAATGGAACTTCCACAGATAAAAGAGTTTTTAATCAATTCTTAATTATTCAGGTTGACGAAGTGAGGCAAAATGCTTTTAATAAAGTTCGCTCTGAATATATCTCGGCTCTCAAGGAAGCATCAGATGCTATCGCAAGCCACCTGACAAAATTCGAGCCTTTTTTCATCTATGTTTCTTTATTCACAATTTGGACTTTGCTGATGTTTCTGATCTTGAGAATTTCGACGGCTATCTATGAAGACAATCGAAAGCGAAAAAGAAGCGGAATTTTCTTCAACATCGTAGCGTCAACGCCACATATTTTGACCATAAGTGTGTTTATGGTTTCGTCATCAATATTCGTTACTCTTATTACCGTATCAGGAGTTCGAATCCCGCTGGGCTCAATAATTTTCTTCGGATCATCATTTTTTGCGATACTTTCATTTGCATTTCTCCTTGTTGTGCTAGTGATTATTTTTGTCACAAAGAATGCGGTAGACATCAGGTAAATTGTTCAACCAACAGTTAAATCATATCGTATTAATAGCAAGTTTCCTGGTTATTTTTGTAATTTCTTTTTTTCAGAATTCATCGGTTGATAATCTGGGTAGCTATTCACAGTGTTCTAATGACATCTTCGAGTTTCATCGAAGAGGAGCATCAAATTGTGTATTTTGTGGGAACATCAGCGTTAATCATAATCATCATACAGAGATTAAGTCAGCATAACATAGTTCTTTATATGAAAAAGCTGGAGGATTCGACAAATCCACGAACCATAAATGCAGAAAACAGTACTCGAACCATCGCTTGGGTAAGCAAATCTCGTTAAAATGTATTTGATTATGGACATTTTATATGTGCTGAGTTTAAAGTAGATCCAATGTTTAACTTACTAAGAACGATTTAATTTCTTCGAAGCTTGATAATGTGCGCACAAGATATTGCATCGAAAGCATTTGTAAACGAAATATGTTCTTGCAACGCGGCAAAGATACTACTAAGACTGCTGGTATCAGGGCGAGGCCCTGAATGACCCGACTGCCTCTTAAGGTCTATGGAGCAGTAATAACATGAAAAAAAAATAAATGTAACAAATAAAATTGATTTTTTTAAATTTGAGATTTTATGTGAAATTCATCACCCCACACGCCATATTAAGTACAAAGTGATAGATTTCGCTCCTAATAACAAATCAATTATGGCAAATACGCTTTCTTTAACCAATTTAGAACGATTTCTAATACGGATTTAATCTCCGCTTAATCCCAAATTGGCCATCTTTAAACTCCCATAACTTTACAAAAAATGATCACAGGTAAAATATCTTTTCAAATTTAAGCTCAGGGCAACAATATCTTTTGAATGATATAAAAAATCTTGTAAAAAATGGCTAGTTAAAAAGTCGAAATTTGTCTGAAGAAAAAAAAACCTACCGCGAGCACAAATATTCCGTTACTTTCGTTACAAAAGTCGGAACAATAATTGCTCAGAATATTAAAATCATCTAATTTTTGAAGGTTATCCGATCGAAAGTTGCTTCTGTTTTAGGCTGTTGTCATTATCAACCGTAAATTTGAACTGTTAGCTCTATATAGCCGTTTAATGCTAGCTCATTTTAGGTGGTGCCTAGGGATGTCGTATCAGCAGTAGCTGCTCTCTGTCTGTTTCGACTTATCCGTAAGTTCAACCAGACAGGTGACAAGTGGCTCAGCTATCCTGATATTGGCGATTGGCTTCTGCAAGATGGCAATCAACTATTCTTAGGCTCTCTATATTGCGGCGCGTGCGTTGCTGTGCCTGTTTTGCTGCTCATTGCCTTCAGAAGTATCGCAGTGATGCTGCTGTCTTCACTTGGTTTTGTGTTGGTAGTTGGATACCACGCATCTGCATACAAAATTGGTGAGTGTAAAAGTTGCTCGTATATACAATTGCTATCATAAAAAATTGCTGTCATTCATTCTAATTAACCATCTGAACCGAATAGATTACATAATTCACCTTGATGTTAAAATAGAGCTGCATCATATATTTATTTAACTATGTAAACATTGATGGTAATTAATACCAATCATTGGAGATTTATACCGAGCTACGAATCAATTGAATAGAGATCAACTTAATAAACTATTCCAATCATGCCCTTACTTGCGCCGATCGACTTGCGAAATATCAGAAGCTAGGAATCGGAACCAGCATCCTTTAAAGCAAGATAGGTCTTTACCGCTCGAGACATATCTAAATAATGAATCCAATCTAAATACAATTGATAGCCAGTAGTGCTAAATAAAATTACCAATTGAACAGCTCGCATAACAGTAGACGACAGTATACCCGTATTATCCATCCGCCAGATACGGTATATTATATGGTGATAGGAGTGGGATACTGTCGTCTACTGTTATGCGAGCTGTTGCATACAAATGCCTAGCTCAAGGTCTAAGCAAATCAGTCACGGGCTTTAGTTCATTCATACGGCACTATCTTGACCCATGCTTAGCAGCCGACTTATGTACACAGTTCATGGATGACATAGGAAGTGCAGTGAATAATTTTGATGAACTAATACCGACCCTCTCAAAAATTTTCGAATGTGTAAGGAAATCGGGATTAAAATTATCACCGAACAAATGTGAAATAGGAACACAACGAATGAAATTCCTTGGTAATATAATTACACCAGCAGGAATATCACCTGAACAAGAGAAAATTTCGACGTTCCTTAAGAAAATTAAAATGCCGCAAACTGTAAAACAAGTTAAAAGACTAATCGGATTTGTTCAATTCTTCCGGAATTATATGCCAAGCTTAGGTGAAAAACTGATACCTTTCTATCGCCTACTCAGAAAAGATATAGCATTTCAAACAAATGAAGAGCATCAGAAAAGTCTCGAAGTGCTAAAACATGATCTAATTCAGGCAACGGACATAACGCTCCGCTTACCAAAACCAGGATTACAATATGTAATACTATGTGATGCAAGCTATCATGGAACAGGTTTCGTGCTAATGGTTGAAGACTATGTGAAAACTGACAACAAAGGTGAAATGAAAACGTATGCACCAGTGTCATTTGGTTCAAGACTCTTCAACACAGCACAACTGAAGTTCTCCATCTACTATAAAGAGTTCTTAGCACTATATTTTGCCCTCGATCATTTTTCTCATTTCATCTGGGGATCATCAAAACCAGTGATAATACTGACTGACAATCGAAGCTTAACACAATTTTTCCAAGCGAAGACTATTCCACCCTCGGTTTGGAATTTCTTGGACCGCGTCATGTCATTCAACATCATTATCGCTCATATACCTGGAAAAGCAAACTATGCAGCAGATTTTTTGTCACGAATGCAAACTGACCCATCAGCTTCATTATCACTGAAATTGACGGACAAAATACCAGTGCGTGAGATACAAATCGACACGACAGCGAAAGTACCGGATGCATCTCTCAACCTGATCCACTCAATGGATGATGCATTTCCTGAAAAGAAGAAGATCGACGACAACCTCAGAGCACAACTGCTTGAACTCGGACTGTATGAAAACGTCATGAGAGAGCTAAGCTCACAGGAAGCTAGTGCAACCATTCAACCACAAAACTTTGTCCGAATAACGAGACCAATCATCGCAGCAGTACAACACCCTGATCCTGCTGATGTTTTCAGTGACCTGAATATGAGTCACGAAGTACTCGACTTGAAAAATGAACAAGACAAAGATAATGATATAGTAGAAGTTAAGGATTGGAAACGAAACGAACAAGTTCCCAATCTGACATACGAAAATAGCCGCAAGAAAAAATATGCTAAACAATTCAATAGACTGATAATCGACGACGAAGTACTGTATCGAAACTTCTACGATGACACGGGACACGTAAAACATAAGCAATACTGCCTACCAAAACATCTTTGGAACGAGGTCGTGTACCGACTACACAACTCGCGAACCGGTGGACATCTGGGAATGACAAGGACCACAGAAGAGTTCAGAAAACGATTCTACCTTCCAGGATTCACCGAATTTTTAACTAACACAATCAAAAATTGCTTAACATGCTTGCAACTCAAAAGAGCATCTGCAAAATATCAAATTCCGCCATTGCAACCAATCTCGTCATTGCAATGTTTTCCTGGAGACATGATGCAAATCGATATCGTTGGACCACTGAAGTCACCAGTGTACAAATTTGTATTAACTGGAATCGATGTCTTCTCGAAATACTTGTTTGCAGCACCATTGACAAACGCTAGCGCTGATACAGTAGCAAGGGAACTCACGAAAATATTTTTCATGCACAGCTACATACCGAAAAAGATCATAGCAGATCTCGGAACGACATTCACGTCAGAACTAATGCATGAATTGACAACTCTATTAGAAGTTCAAATCAACCACGCAACGCTGAAACATCCACAATCAATTGGTCTTGTCGAGCGATCTCATGGACCTCTAAAAAGGATCTTGAAGCTGAATACTAATGAACAATGGTCAGACTGGCACAAATATGTCCCATTGGCAACATTCATTCACAATACGTCGTACTCTTCATCAATTGGATGCTGCCCTAGCTCCATTTTTCATGGAAGAGAACCAACAAAACCACTTGATCTTCGCTTTTCGACGAAAGCAATGGAATCAGTAACAGCAGAATCAGACTTCGTTACGGCAATGCAAGACGCGATGCTAGAAAAGTTCAAAGAAACAAAAAAGAACTTGATTTCTTCGTACCACAAGTATCGAGGATATTACGATCAAAAGGCACTTGCGCAGCCTCTCACAGTCGAATCATTTTGTTTACTACTAAATCCTCTGCTGACTACACAGTCAGACTTTGGAAGCAAATCAATGCAAGTCTGGATACCCCTGTACAGAGTTGAGAAAGTGTTAACAAATTCGAACTATATAATTCGGAAAGTTGGAACTAACTACACCCAATGTGTGCACCGAATTCGTCTCAGACCAGTTGATCCACAGCATCAACCAGAAGATCTCAATCCAATAGATCCAACGAAGTTTCAAACGGATCCTTCACTCGGAAAATACCGAAGCGAACCAGGACTTTTCGACGAAAACTTGCCGAAACTCTTAGATGAGATCCAACCTGATAATCCTGACGAAACCGATCAACCAGCCGCACCAGCTAGAATCAGACTATCAGTGCCCTTTGGAGCGCCAGCAGTTGCAGCAGCACCTGCACCGATGCCAATTCCAGCAGCACCAATAGTGGTACCATTACCGGTCCCAGTACCAGTAATACCACCACCGCCGGATCCACCCCCAATCCCAGGAGCAGTACATGTGCATGAATTACCACTCGCTGAACTACCAGCAGCGCCACCAATGGATATCATTGATGAACAGGTCACTGACAGATTAACCAGCAACAACTCTGATCCTGAGGGATACAACCTCGACGAATTGTTTCGCGAACCACAGCCAGTTGTCAGACGAAAAGCAGCAGCTGAAGCTAGAGACCGAATTCACGCCCAAATTCGGTTTAGTAATGATGTTCGATATCACCCAATACCCAGCCGCCCAAAACAACCGCGAAAGTATGGACTCCGAACCGTTGACGGACACGAAGTGGCCCCAGTTACATTCATTCCACGATCAACGCAAAAGGACAATAAAGCAAACATACGAAAGAAAGCGGAGGCGGCGAATGAAGACTTTCCTTCACGGGATTCGAAAAGGAACATTATTATGGACAGCGTTAAACGAGCGAAACAATTCACTAAACAAAAAGATGGACCTGGAAGCAGCAAAGACTCGGTAAATGCAATATATGAACCAAATATCTTTGTGGGATCAGGTGATGTCCTACAGTTCCCTGGCTCTATAGCTCACTGCGTCTCAAGTGACTTTCAAATGGCAAAAGGAGTAGCACAGCAGATCAGCAGCGCCTACCCATGCATCAAACCGACCCTAAAAAGCATTGAAACACCGATAGTTGGATCATCAGTTTCAGTTTCTTTGCCTTGGGAAAACAAGTCAATTTTCAATTTAGTCACAAAACCACAATTTTTTTGACAAGCCAACATACTACGATTTGTCAAGAAGCCTCAACTGCATGAAGCAGCAGCTACTGCAGAAGGGAATAAACGCTATAGCCATGCCGAAAATCGGATGTGGACTCGACAAATTGAAAGAAAGCAGAGTTTTCAGCCTAATTTGCGACATTTTCGAAAAAACGAACATCAAAATCTTTATTTATGTGTGACGAAAAATCACGATATCAGCTAGTAACGTTCATGCATGCATTCTTAACAATGTAAGCTCCAAAACCACCCAATCGATACAATTGAAGTCACGAAAAAACCAAAATAAAACAGAAAAAGTATAAAATTTCGAGAAAACTCTCATTTCCTCAAGTTGAGCTTTTCTGAAAAACTGACACCCAAGTCGAAATATACGTAATGCAACCGCTTTGAACCCGTGGAATACCTTCAAGGCCCAACTAGGACTCAGGCAGGAAGTCGGCTCACTAGGAGAAGTCAACTTCGCGAGATCTCGAAAAATCCACCTGTTGCCCATGTTTAAACATTACGAATAAAAAGATTCTGCTCCCCCCAAAAATATTAGCTAGAGAAGAAAGAAATTTTTTGGGCTCAGTAATCATTAGACCACCAATAAGGAACAGGCAGGAAGTCGATCCACTAACAGATCAAAATTTGGAGAAATACATCAATTTACACTATTCCCACGTATTATGATAGGCAAAACAAGAAAAAATATAAAATTCGAGGGATATCTTCGCAGAAATTCAGAAAGAAAGCGTTCAAATGAGCCAACAAACATCCAATGTGCTTGTTAGGCAACCCTAAAAGGTTGTCAGTGATACTGAAGAACAACACGCGAATCTTGAATGCCAAGAAGATATCAAAAAAAGATAAACGAAATTAATGGAAAAAAAAAAAAAAGTAATTTATCAACTACTCTAACTGACGCCAAATTTTGCTCAGGCGAACCAGCAAATTGTCTGAATAGCCTATAGGAGTGAAGTGCAGCTACAGTAGATGAAAAGAACTGAAAAAAAAAAACAAAAAGCCAGACACTACACACAATACGATGATCGCGATCAATGCAAAAACATCGTAGAAATGTGTAATTTTGACTTTTTCAAAGAAAAAAGTCGATCACCTTCATTCAGGGAGTAAGGCCAATAAAGGCACAAAACGCCCATACGATGAAGACCAGAAGACTTCTGAAAAATAGACAACGAACAGTAAATGAAATATCAACCTTTTAGCAAGTAATATAAAGTACTAATTGCTAAGCTAGTTGAAAATTTTCAAAAGAAATCGTGAAGAAATCAACAAAACATATCACTGTTAAGTTGTTGATAATCAATTCACAATCTATGAGGCAACGATTGGAACCACACCGCCTCATATCAAAAAGACTTCAGCATCAAACGAGCACAAAAAGAATGAAAGGCAACAACGAACGAAGACAGCGATATCAAAAATTAAAACGAAACGACGACCAAAACTATTCAGCTACTCCACACGACAGTTCTTGCCGTGGAAATTTAGTTACAGTTGACAACTGAATACATCATGATATCATTAATTTATCCTTATCATCTATCACTTTAACTCCCATACCCCGACTCAAGGTGGCTTGCTTAAAAATTATCTCCCATTTAAGTTTAAAATAATTTATCTTCTCTCGTTTTATTAATTGAATTAATAAACTGTGCTTCTAATACTATGAGTTTATTAAATTATTGCGATATAACTTTTGATAGACCCATACCATATTGATACTTGTACATATTCTTAATCAAAGCAGTCTTAAATTATTATGTGAATTATTGTAAATGTATCTGATGAAACACTTCAACCACCCGGGAAGACTTCCTCTTGTGAGGTTGTGTGACATCATCCCTTCATGATGTCATTCATTCTAATTAACCATCTGAACCGAATAGATTACATAATTCACCTTGATGTTAAAATAGAGCTGCATCATATATTTATTTAACTATGTAAACATTGATGGTAATTAATACCAATCATTGGAGATTTATACCGAGCTACGAATCAATTGAATAGAGATCAACTTAATAAACTATTCCAATCATGCCCTTACTTGCGCCGATCGACTTGCGAAATATCAGAAGCTAGGAATCGGAACCAGCATCCTTTAAAGCAAGATAGGTCTTTACCGCTCGAGACATATCTAAATAATGAATCCAATCTAAATACAATTGATAGCCAGTAGTGCTAAATAAAATTGCCAATTGAACAGCTCGCATAACAGTAGACGACAGTATACCCGTATTATCCATCCGCCAGATACGGTATATTATAAAATGCTTTGAAAGTATTTCAAAAATTGTATTCTACCGGATCTATCGAAGTAAACGCAATAAAGATAACGCGTGTTTAGTCTTTAAAAAATCTTTAAAAGTCTTTAATATGTAAATTTAACATGGTAATGCAGTGCTCCAAGACATCAAGCTCTCCCAAAGCACTGTTTTGCCCGTATTTTGGCAAAATTTTCTGCGCCGCAGGCAAATTTTTGAAAAAACAGTCAAAAAAGCCGTTTTTGGGCACTTTGAAAAATTTTGACAAAAAAATTGCTTTTTTTTGGCGCGCGCTCCCCCTCAAAGTTAGTATATATTGGCGCCCAAGGCGCCTTTAGAAAAATTTTAGGGTCGTTCGGCCAAAAATGTATTCAAAGGGGGGACCCTTTGGGTCGGCAGAGGGTCGAATCCCTGAGGGGGGGGGGGGGGGGGGGGGGGAGCGTCCGCCCCCCCCCTAAATCCGCCCCTGGAAAGCAGATGTTGTTTTTCTGTTTTCACAGCGAAATAAAAATGTTATTTTTTTAATTCAGTTTTCTCAAATATTGTAAATTTTACCAAAAAAATCATATTGATTTTTTCTTCATTTTTGTGTAATTTACTATTTATTTTGTAAATGCTCTTATTTCCAAAGCAGATGGTTTTTTTTCTGTTTTCACAGCAAAATAAAAATGTTATTTCTTTGATCCAGTTTTCTCAAATAGTGTAAATTTAACCAAAAAAATGCAAATTGTTAATTTTTCTTGAAACTCAGAGAACTTCACATGCACATATTTTTTTGAACTTCAAAAGTTGAAATTTTTCAAAAACGAGTCAGTATTTTTTCTGTTTCCTTTCCTTGATTGGCTCTTTACCAACTATCTGTTGGCTATGTTTTTAGATTAAGTTGCTCCTCACTTTCAATGGTCGGAACACAAACGTATTTTATTAAAGTAAATTAGTGAATTTGTTCCCCACGTGATAATGGCATATTTGTGTTCCAGATTTGATAGATTACATGGCTATGGACGATCACGGCCTGTTTTATGCGAGTTGCCTGCGATGTTACTTTGCGGTTTTGATTGTGTCACAGCTTCTCTCAAACCTGGCAGCGCTTATCACCACCTCTCCAAAGATTGTCGACACCAAAAAGTCACTGAGCGCAATGCTATTTATCTACTCTCTGCTTTTACAGGTTCCCCAAGACTTCTTCGTATTAATTCTTCTTGTGCTATTTACATATCTTCTCAATCCGGTTCTCAGTGCAACAAAATTAGAAAATGTTGATCAATTTTTTATCTGTAACATGTTTGCGAGAAGTGCATTTTTCGTCCTTGGTAATTGTAACTCTTTTACAACTATTGACATACAGGCTGCGTATACTGGTCTCAGTGACCATAACCTGGCAATGGTGGCTTTCCAGTTGTTTTTGGTTATGTTCTCTGGGCCTCTTATAATCTACTCTCAAATGAATGCAAATCCTGTCTTGATAAACATAGACAATAATACAAATACATCTTCAAATTGTGTGCTATTTTTGCTAACTTACCGATGTTGTACATGTGCTGTTGTGTTAACATGTAGCTGGTTTTTAAGATTTCACATAATGACTTGGACTGTCTTTTCGCCCAAAGTCATTTTTGAAATCGGCTGGGCTATTTTTGATTGTTTATTGGCCATAGTTTTTGCAGCGACGGCTGTAATAAAGTCTTTGTGAAGAATGAATGAAAGGCAACAAGTCCTTTTGAAGGCGAAACTATGCAGAACCTATTTAAAACTCTCACAAGGAATATCGAATTTTTAATTCAAAATTTTCCAAATAGTTATTGAACTGAACTTTTGAGAGGCATTTTGTCAAAATAGAGCAGTCTTCAATTTTAAGACATAACCCACATAACTTCAAGTCTTCAAGTTATGTGGGTGAGTTATTTAGAAAAAATGAACGATTTGGCTGATATTTCAGATGTCTTTGAAAGTGTTCTTTTACAATTTGCCTCGTACCACTGGAATCGGCCAGCTGCATCAACATTTTTCCAAATTTGGGCGAATGAATCAAATCAAGCTAAGATATAGAAAAGACACAGGTCTGCCCGAATCCTATGGATTTATTTCAGTTTTACAAAGATCTACATTGAATAAAATCTTAGAGCACGGACACCATGAAATAGATGGTACTAAAATTGGCTTGCGTTTTGAAAACCCTAAGTTGGAGCAAGTCTACAAATCATGGCAAAGTAGAGTAAGAAGCAACTTCTACCAAGGCAAGATTGATGAGCCGGTGAGCGGACCAATAGCGCCTGCGTTCAGAGTAAGCGGCATGGGCTCCTTCAAAGACATGTATTTCAAGATCACAGGCGATCAATTTGTACCAGGTGAGATTCAAGAGAGAAATAACTTCGAACGTTCTTTAAAGCAGAGTTATAAAACTTGACTCTTAATTGCGAAAAAGTAGTTGATATTTGCGCATATCTGGGGCATTCCTTTTTTTTTTAAATTCGACGTAGTGAAGACTTTTACGTATGTCTCGATAATTTTTTAAATTTTTTTTAGGAAAAGTCTTAGAACTTTTCGCGCTCAAATTTGTTTTTTCAATGTTTGACTTTGATTTCTTACTTCAGTTCATTTCCCTTGTCAAACTCCACTATCGAACAGCAAAAAAGGATAGTTCACAAAAAAGTGATCGAATTCTTATTGCGAAAGTGGATTTTAATAGCGGAATTAAATCTTTACCTATTAATCCATGTTTCTAAATTCGAGTGACTTAAACGCTTCCGATTAGGAAGCGTTAGCAAATGGGAATATAGATTTTTATCGGGTTAACAACTAGAGGCTGTTTCAAAGAAACAGTTCTTTTTGAAAACGCTTTAACGGAAGATAAAGAGACAATTTTTCTGCAAATGAAAGACATCAGTAGGAATCTTTTATAACTGCTGAAATTGTAAAATTGGAAATCTGCGCCATTTTTTGCGACACAAACTTTTGATCTTTTATTCAAGTTTTTCAATGAATCCTTAACAATTTTGGGCCGTTATCGTACTGCTAGCATCTTCGACTGTTTGAAGAGTTCCTGAACGCTTCGTCGGTTAGCGCATTGTACGTGTTTCATCAAGTGATCACATATCTAAAAATCGAGGGGTTTAAGATCCGGAATTTGGGGTGGCCAGGGTATACGGGCTTCGCCGACTTATAATTCTGTCGTCTCTTACGGGCTTCAGTTGGGCTTAGATAAATTGAGAATAAACAAATTACCTATTTTTTTCTTCAACTGGGAAACCTTTTCGCTGTTTTCATTAGCGTACGAAAATTTTTTAAAAGAAATGTGTAGCTTGAAAACGTGAAGCAGTTGGAAAAATGCGGGTATTTTTAATCACGTTGATTTCACCAATGCAGCTTTTAAATCACATTTTCGTCAGTTTTGCAGGTTTTTTCCAATTTTTGAAGTCACGGATCAACGGTTATGAATTGACAAGCTTTTATAAAATTGAAGTTTATTTGAAACACCTTGTAGTAATACAAAATCAGTTGAAAAACTTACGATGCTGCTAAGCTCCTGACATGCTCAATTTCATGAAAATTTAGTTTCAACTGTTGAGTACTGGTTACTACTGGTACATTTTATATCTAGAACTCAAAACATTGTGTGTATAATTATAGAGCTTCGATATTAATTTTTTGCGGATGGTCATTGCGGCTTCGTGGTTGTCGATGATGCTCTGTCGGTTTGTTTTCCAAATTATGCAGTTCGCTCTGCATACGGTACTTATTAGCTATCGTGGATCTTATATGGCTGTTACATCCGATTTTTTCAATGTGATTTTTGAAAACTGAAAATTTTGGGCTGAGTTTCACCTTATTGGCTGTCGGCTTTAATTCTGTCGGCTTATTTACAGAATTTTTTTTCTTTAAAGGGCCAATAGTACTTGTGATCGCCCATTTTTTTATTAACTCTGGTGCCAACTTCGAATGACTAGTGTTAGCTTGGACCTTCTTCTAAAAATAAGTGAATTCAAACACAACAAAAAATAATTGTTTTTTGAATTTTTTTACCACTGCGTAACAGCATTCGAAGGTCTGTTTGCTAATTTTAGAGTCTCATGGTGCTGTCATCCCATAATTGTTGTATCGCAAGTGGTGCGAAGCCCAGCCTCGCCTCCGTGTCATAAAAGTGTCAGTCATAACGTTACGTGGAAACTAAAAGCGCTTTAGGGCTACATATTTTTACTTTGAAGTTCGAAAGTCAATTTTTTCTTCAAAATAAGCTTTTCTGTTGCATTCACTGACTCTTTTTCAATTGTCTGTTGGCTATATTTGATTGTCTAAGTGTTATTGATTGTAGTGAGTTTTCATTAATCAAGGACGCGTCGTTTCTTTGTTTCTCGAAAATGTCTTAAATTTTATTCATGCCCAATTTATACTCTGGCGGCTTCGTAAAAGTACACTCAAAAAAGAAATATCTTGAGATTTCATGTAATTGATTCTTTCAAAGCAGCTTGTTCCTAAAACCGTGGATGGGTTTAAAAATCTATGTATGCGAAAATTTTTGATTAATTATCTTCTATCCTTCTTTTTTATTCTGGTTAGTGTGCTACGATATCGGAAAAAATTTTGGGACAATTCTACGCCTGGGTCTTAGAATTGTTTTTTTCCCCAATTGTCCAAAACGCTCTTAGCGAAGTTTTTTTGCCTCCACTTGCTTTTTTCTGACTAAAGATCTGGTACCAGATGCCTATGGCGTGGACCATAATATCATGGGCTTTATGAAAATATATTTTTGCAGTGTTAATGATGATTTTACTCGTTCGTTTTTAACGTCTAACTACTAGTCTAGAAATTTTGCATTGGCCGTATTCGTGCTTGCAAGGTTTCTTTTGCTTCAAGCGAGTGCGTACATTGATAAAGTTACCCTATGTCCAATCAAAATGTGTTGTTGATAAAGTTACCCTTTATCAACACAAGCAATGGCAAGACGGAGACCTGGATGGCCTATGTAAGAAAGGGAAAGCGCTGCAAATGCGCATGACAAAAGGAAATAGAAGAAAAACTGAAACTGAAGCACAACAGTTCAATAAACTAATGAATACTGGTAAAATATGAAGCGCAATAGCAAAATTAACGGACACATCCAAAGGCGTTCTGTCGCTCGACGAGATCGTCAAAGGTAAGACAGTAGAACAGGCTCTTATAGAGAAGCACCCACCATCTGAACCAAATGATTAGAACTATATTACACCAGTCTCAAATGAAACAATTCCCTTCCATCGATATTTGATCAGATAAACGGTCAACATATCAAGAAAGCAGCCATGAGAATGCATGGATCTCATGGACCATCTAGCCTTGATGCAAATGAATGGAGACGAGTTTTAACACAATTCGGGCAACAATTAATGGAGATTTCAAAAACAATTGCTAAATTTGTTAGAAAATTGGCTACCGAAGAACTAAATCCAGAACTAACGGAACCATATAACGCATGAAGAGTAATCCACTTAGATAAAAATCCAGGAGTAAGACCCAGTAGATTAATCCCCTTAGATAAAAATCCAGGAGTAAGACCCATAGGCATAGGAGACGTTATGCGTAGGATAATAGGACGAACAATAACCAAATGCCTAAAAAACGAACTCATGTCTCTCGGTTTAAACTATCATTTCTGTCTTGGACAAAAATGTGGCATTGAATATGCGATTCAAACGCTAAGAGATCAATACAGAAAAACCTCCGCCGATGCTGTTTTATTGATAGATGCCGAAAACGCTTTCAACTCGCTAAATCGAAAGCTGGCATTCAAAAACATCGAAAATACCTGCCCATCTCTTTTAACCGCGATTAAAAACTCCTACTCCAATCCATTTAAACTGTTCGTTAACAAAAAAACCATCTACTCTCAAGAAGGGACAACCCAGGGGGACCCACTAGCAATGGCCATGTACGGTCTAGCCATAATACCCCTCGTAAAATTTTTATCAGTAGACAACGTAACCCAGAAATGGTACACAGACGACGGAAACGCAGTCGGTAATTCAAGCAATCTACGAACCGTCCTCGATAAAATTGTATCACTAGGTAAATTTTTTGGCTACCATGTTAAAGCATCCAAATGCCAACTCATTGTCAAAGATGAAAACCTCGGTGAAGCTCAGAAAATCTTCGAAAATACAGGAATCACTATAAAGGCAGGCGCCCGAGTGCTTTGTTCAGTTATAGGAACAGAATCTGAATGTAAAAAGTTCCTCGAATTTCAACAGACTGAGCAAATCAAAATTAAAAAAAAAAAATTAACGAAAATCGCTTAAACTTCCCCCCAAAATGTTTATGCCTGCTATACTAAAGGAGTTCAAGAAAAACTTTCATTTCTTACCAGGACAGCGCCTAACACTTTGGAAAACTTAGAAGTATGTGAAAAGATTATCAAAGAACAATTAATACCTAACCTAATCGGTAAAGACACATTGAACCCCCAGTTCCGTGAGATATCTTCCTTACTCCTTAAATTGGGCGGCCTTAACATCAAGCTGCCATCTGATCATGAAAGCTATATAGAATGGTCTAAGGAAACATCACTAGCACTGGAATCTCAAGATCCTGTTACAGCCATAACACAGCAAGAAAAAATATGTACGAAAGTTAAAAAATTGAAAACTGATAGAACAAACCGGAAGAAAACAAACCTCATGAATTCCTTAGATGAAACAGATAAATACGCAATCGACCTGGCCTCTGAAAAGGAAGCCTCTAACTGGCTCAACGCTTTACCATTGAACAGATATAACTTCAACCTGAATAAATCAGAATTCAGAGGTGGTATTTACTTAAGATACGTATG